AAATATTGAGAAAATCGCCTTTAAAGTTGTCCAAGTTCTTAGCAATGCATATTACTAATCAAAAATTAAGTATCAATTTATTTATGGTAGGAAATTTACAAAATATCTTCATGGAATCTTTACTTAATATCCTAATGTTTTTGGCATAAAAGAAAAATCGATAATTTTGACCCATACAATGTTTTTTTGGCTATTGCTACAAATATACCCCAGCGACTTAAGACTGCTTTTGTGGTCCAGGGTCACATATTAGCCCTACAGATACAGCATGAAATAGACTACTATTTAAACCTTTAACATTTTACATAACATTACATAACTGTTTTATCTCACAATTCTGACTTTTTTCTCGCAAATGCAAATTTATATCTCCTAATTCGGACTTTATAACTCGATTTAACTCAACAATTGCGAGTTTGTCAATTCTGAGGTAAAAAAAGCCAGAAGTGTGGGATGTAAACTCATGATTCTGAACTGAGTGGAAAAAAGAGAATGATGAGTTGATTTTTTCTTCAGAATTGTGAGATATAATCTCGGAATTGCGAGAAAAAAGTCAGAATTTTGAAATATAAACTCAAAATTATCTTTTTTATTCTTTTATTCCATGGCTTCCATAGACTGCTACTTTAAAACTGTCATAATAACAGCACGGTGGTCACGCTGAATGGCACAGATTGTACTACGGACTACTATTTTAAATTGAGCAGTGTAACTTTTTATATGTTTCTTTAACTGCATTTTATTTTGATTTTATTTTTGAACAGGCTGCGATGTCAAGTTTGCAAAAATATGTTGTGTGTGCGCGTGAGGCGCCGGCATGATCAATGCATTGTTTTCCCTTAAAGAATTACTTCACTTCCAGAATAAAAAATTCCTGATAATTTCCTCACCCCCATGTCATCCAAGGTGTTCATTTCTTTCTTTATTCAGTCGCAAATAAATTAAGGTTTTTGAGGAAAACATTCCAGGATTTTTCTACATATAATGGACTTCAATGGTGACCAACGGGCTGAAGGTCCAAATTGCAGTTTCAGTGCAGCTTTAAAGGGCTCTACACGATCCCAGCCGAGAAATAAGGGTCTTATCTAGCCAAACGATCGGTCATTAAAATAAACAAAACAAAAAACAAATTTATATAGTTCTTAACCACATGCTCGTCTTGCACTAGCTTGACGCATTACGTAGTCACGTTGGAAAGGTCACACACGGTTAGCTCTTCGTCTGTGTACGTCTGTGTACTCTGGTTCAAAAGGGTAGGGTCCATCTAATTTTCTCCTCCAAGCTTTGTAAACACTGGGTCGGTACTTCCATCTACGTCATGCGTGACCTTTCCAATGTGACTACGTAATGTGTGAAGTCGAGCTAGTGCAAGAAGAGCATTTGTTTTGAGTAGTTTTTATTTTTATTTTTTTTAAATGACTGATCGTTTGGCTAGATAAGACCCTTATTCCTCGACTGAGATCATGTAGACTAGAGCCCTTTGAAGCTGCACTGAAACTGCAATTTGGACCTTCAGCCCGTTGGTCACCATTGAAGTCCATTATATGGAGAAAAATCCTGGAATGTTTTCCTCAAAAACCTTAATTTCTTTGCGACTGAAGAAAGAAAGACATAAACATCTTGGATGACATGGGGGTGAGGAAATTATCAGGAAATTTTTATTCTGGAAGTGAACTAATCCTTTAAAGGCACAATATGTAATTTTCGCCACTAGAGGGCGCGTATTCAAAATAAAC